GAAGTGCGATTGCGTCACAGCGGCGCGACGAAGGCTGTCCCAAACTGAAGTGTGCGGACGCCGAAGTGCGCATTTGAAGTGTGATTGCGTCACAGCGTCACGACGTAAGCTGTCCCAATTCAGGATGCACCCTCCGAAGACCGCATTCCAAGGCCAATTGCGTCACCGCGGTGCGACGAAGGCTGACCTATTTCGAAAGCGTCTTTAAATGCACCTTCCCTTTCCCAGGAAAATTAAGTGGACATCTGATGGACACTTCACACCCTACCATATCCCAGAATCACATGTGCGCAGATGACGATGGAATTTATATTCAAAGAACATGGAGGGTCATTGTCTCCTGAAGAAAATGGATGAAATTTGGCTTGGACCCTGATCTTGTTCTTATGTATGTGAAATTTTCCCAAAATAATAATAAAAAGATGTACAAGAGAAGTAAAGTTATTATTATTACTCTCATTGGAATAATAGCCTACATATCAACATTATTTAACTTGAATGTAACATTTGTATTCTTTCTAATCACATTTTTCATATCAACCTAAAAAATCCTCGTGTAGACACAATTACAAAATATTACAATATTTTACATTACAATATAGACTCATTTTCCATTGAGCAAAAAAAATAAATAAATCACAGGAATAATCAATATCCAGATTAAATCTCTCTTAGCTGCATATATCATGTAACATTTTAAATGTAGCCTCTTTTATTTAAACACATTATGGTATTACAGCTGTGAAATTACAAACAAAACAAAAAATACACATTCCGAGACATGAACTGAAATGAATTGTGAATTTTATTAACATTAAATCGTCCTCCTCCCATTTTCACCTCAAAATTTTTGGGAAGCTGTGCCTCCCCTACCGCCCCCGACGAGCCGCCACTGTCCGCTTGTTGTTGAAACATGCTCTCTTGCCCCCTGCGTACCCTCTTGTTAACCTTTGTGGTTGATTACATAGCATCAAACTCATAAGCCTAATTTCACAACTGTTGCTTATTCATCCTAACAAAGCAAGTGTTGCAAGTGCAAGCATCTTTATATCAAGGAATATATAGTATTAACCTAAAAACTAGCAAATAAATTGCTCATGCAACTATGCTCATTCCTAGCACTTGGTGCCATTTGTGTCCCCATGACATAAGCTGTGTCCCAAAGTGAAGTGCACGGACTCCGAAGTGCGCATTTGAAGTGTGATTGCGTCACAGCGTCACGACGTAAGCTGTCCCAATTCAGGATGCACCCTCCGAAGACCGCATTCCAAGGCCAATTGCGTCACCGCGGTGCGACGAAGGCTGACCTATTTCGAAAGCGTCTTTAAATGCACCTTCCCTTTCCCAGGAAAATTAAGTGGACATCTGATGGACACTTCACACCCTACCATATCCCAGAATCACATGTGCGCAGATGACGATGGAATTTATATTCAAAGAACATGGAGGATGACAGTTATGTGGGGGAATTCACATTGAAATGTAAGTATTGTTTTCATTTACTCAAATACCTAGCGAAACAAGTGTTAAAAAAAAAGCCAGGTTTAAAAAAACAAACAAAAAAAGCCCACAAACAATAAGACAACCACTACATAAGGCAATAGTCTTTTTTTGTTGTTGTGTTTTTGTAGTGCTGTCATGTCTACAAATGTTTTAACCAAACATTAGCACTTCAGTACTTTGTATGCATGTCCTGCTGTATCATATTTTCTAATGTTAAGATTGCAAACCATTGAGCTGTACAATGCTCTATTTTTTTATTCACAGTTTTATTTTTGCTAGCCTGTCTACATATGATCACAATGGTCAAGACAATAAACTATATAAAATCGCACCTTTGTAAGATATCAGGCAACATTTGAACTGCTATGTGTGTGTGTGTGTGTGTGTATTTAGTAGTTTTTCATATGTATCATTACATTATTCAAGTAAGCTCCAAGCCAATTCCTGCATTTAAACTTGTAATCCGACAAAGGTGCAGCAAACCAGTGTAATTTACCTGGCCTCGGTTTTGGCTAAGCCTGAGGTACATCACCTGTCTCCTCCATTATGAAGTAAAACATAAAAACAAAAATGAGCAATTCTGGCTCCACCTATCCTGGCAGGATTGTCCTCTCGTCAGCTCTCCTCTCGCACTGTTGCTATGCGACAGAGCGCTAATCGGGAACCTCTGGTGCCGCAATTAGGAAATCCTGCGAAGGCGGAGCGTCCTTCGTGCACTTCGGAGGCGTGGCTTTCGAAGTCCGTGCCCTTCGAAGTGTGTGGACTTAACTTTGGGACACAGCTATACTCAAGGAGATTTGGCTGTAGAGTACGTACTCTTTTAGCGCTCGTTAAGTAAGTACTTTTTGAAATTAAGTACCTGAGTATGCGGTTTCCAACGCAGCCACAGTTTGTCATTGGTCACGTGATTTCTACGTTAACGACACAATTCTCAAATCGAGACTCCATCTGGCAGGCCCATTTATTCCCAATAGTATGTTCCTCCACACTTCTCTTTATTCTCGACACAAGCTCTGATGCCTCGGTTTAAATGTCACATCACTACTCGGCAGGCCTCTACTATTTCTTGGACAAAAGTTTGTCATAAAGGTTGCAGTCATATTCCATCCGCATGATAAAAAGAACTCAGGAATATGGTAAAATGTACTTTGTTTTCTCCAGTGTCCTGATGAGTTTTCACAGATGACCAATATTATGCAAAGTGAAGTCATGATAAGCTAATTGTGTAAATTGCATTTGTTTGTTATATGTATTAATAACATAGCATATATCAGAGAATATGTTTGTTGTCTGTTGTAATGTTTTGAAAAACAAGCTTGGACTTTTTTTTTTTTTTTCAAGAAAAGCGTGTAGTTCATTAAAATCGAGAAAATGTACCAAATATGTTATGCAATCAATAGAGAACACTTCAGTAGTTCTGTCGGTATATGTTTTTGTTAAATGTTTTAGCGGAAATATTTTAAGTGAAATTGCACATTTGATAAATGAAAAGTCTGTTTGGATGGCTCTGTTAAATTGTCATTGACACTGAATGTGCATTAAGTGTAAAAAGAAAAAGACATGCAGCAATGAATAAAAGATACAGAAACAATAATGTATAAAGCAGACTTCATGTTTGGCTATTTACAGAAACGTAAAGCCAGTCCTACATTATATTGTTAACTTTGTGGGGGGGGGGCGGAAGATTAAAAACATGTATGTAGATATCACAGATCATGCATTATTGTATAACACCATTTATGCAAAATTACTTTGTAAATTACACATCATGTCTTACATTTCTACTGAGAGTATAAAAAGGAATGTGTGGCAAGTTCTTTGAGACAAATCATCTGATTTTACAATCAATTGTCGAAAACCCAATATAATGTAAGTAAACAGAGTTAAACATACCAACAAGCATCTGTTGATGGATTTCTGTTCTGTATAGATGGCCATATGTACATGCAACCAAGTATATGTAAAACTCAAATAACATGTTAAAAATGAAATTACATATTACAGAGTACATTAAAAAGACAATGTAACATTAATTGCTGAAAACCTGGTATGTACATTGTACATTGTTACAAAGCAGTACTGAAAATTAAAGCATGTTTTACCTCATAAACTTATGCAGCATTTATCCTTGGACTGAAAATCATGACCTTTAGCGATTATTGGCTGTTTTTTTTAAGTATACATGCTATATGTCACAAGAGAGTGTTCTTCAGTAATCTTTACTTTGGGTTTATTTGCCATGAAAGAACTTTGTGCTGCATAACTCAGAATGTCTTCACCCTACAATAATGAGAAAGAAAAAAAAAAACAAAGATCAGAGAAAAAAAAGTCACATAACATGTCAAATTGAGTCTTAAGAAGACACATCAGCATAATCATTTGCACTTAATAAGACTGACCGTATAATTCTAATGAATAATTATATTATTTGAAATCATAAAACATAATACGTAATCATAAATCATAAAACATAAAATAACTTACTTGACACTCTTGAGATTTGTGGATTGTGGGTGAATAAAAAATGTAATTAAAAAGAAAATAAATAAAATATATCTTTAGTGTCAATTGTTGCATTTTTATAAACAAGTATATAGAAATATGTGATAATATAAATATATTATTAATATACAGTATGTGTACCAAAATTAAACCTTACTTTTATTTGGATCCTGACATAGTTTTATGGCCAGAAAAACAGCTAAAGTCAAAAATATGATGTTTAAAACTCCAAGAACAAGCAGGGTTGGATTCACATCGACACTCTCTGAAATGACCAAAAATATGAGACATAATTCAGGGTGCTAATAGTAGATCAGTTCCTTGGTATTATTTCCCCTGATATTTGAACCAAATATTCCACCTGAGTGAAAACATCAAATATTTATCCAAAAACCTTACCTCTAAAATTTAGTTCAGTTCCTTTTCCAAACAGTATCTCTCCACACGCGGCCACAGCACAGTAGTAAATCCCAGCATCAGAGTGACTGATGTTGCTCTTGAAGAGATTGTAGACACAGCTCTGCGTTTGAGACTCAGTGCTGTTCTCACACTGACCATTTCTCTCCCCTTTTGTGTAAAGTATCCCTTGAGATTCTCCCAAGCTTTGCCTGAACCAGTAGACACTGTGCTCTCCTGCACAGCTCTCAGTGAAGATGCTGCACTGCAAACTCACAGAATCCCCTGGATGAAGCGTGTCTGTCGAAGACTGCTGAAGAGTTATGTGTCTGTCCACAGCTGCATCTTGAAAGGCGACATACAGTGGGTACGGAAAGTATTCAGACCCCCTTAAATTTTTCACTCTTTGTTATATTGCAGCCATTTGCTAAATTTAAGTTAGTTAATTTTTTTTCCTCATTAATGTACACACAGCACCCCACATATGATCAACAATGGTCAAGACAATAAACAATATAAAATCACACCTTTGTAAGATAACAGGCAGCATTTGAACTGCTATGTGTGTGTGTGTGTGTATTTTGTAGTTTTTCATATATATCATTACATTATTCAAGTAAGCTCCAAGCCAATTCCTGCATTTAAACTTGTAATCCGACAAAGGTCGCAGCAAACCATGTATGTAGATATCACAGATCATGCATTATTGTATAACACCATTTATGCAAAATTACTTTGTAAATTACACATCATGTCTTACATTTCTACTGAGAGTATAAAATGGAATGTGTTGCAAGTTCTTTGAGACAAATCATCTGATTTTACAATCAACTGTCGAAAACCCAATATAATGTAAGTAAACAGAGTTAAACATACCAACAAGCATCTGTTGATGGATTTCTGTTCTGTATAGATGGCCATATGTACATGCAACCAAGTATATGTAAAACTCAAATAACATGTTAAAAATGAAATTACATATTACAGAGTACATTAAAAAGACAATGTAACATTAATTGCTGAAAACCTGGTATGTACATTGTACATTGTTACAAAGCAGTACTGAAAATTAAAGCATGTTTTACCTCATAAACTTATGCAGCATTTATCCTTGGACTGAAAATCATGACCTTTAGCGATTATTGGCTGTTTTTTTTAAGTATACATGCTATATGTCACAAGAGAGTGTTCTTCAGTAATCTTTACTTTGGGTTTATTTGCCATGAAAGAACTTTGTGCTGCATAACTCAGAATGTCTTCACCCTACAATAATGAGAGAAAAAAAAAAAAGATCAGAGAAAAAAAATGTCACATAAAATGTAAAATTGAGTCTTAAGAAGACACATCAGCATGATCATTTGCACTTAAGACTGACCGTATAATTCCAATGAATAATTATATGATTTGAAATCATAAAACATGATGCATAATCATAAATCATAAAACATAAAATAACTTACTTGACACTCTTGAGATTTGTGGATTATGGGTGAATAAAAAAATGTAATTAAAAAGAAAAGAAATAAAATATAATATAATATCTTTAGTGTCAATTGTTGCATTTTTGTAAACAAGTATATAGAAATATGTGATAATATAAATATATTATTAATATACAGTATGTGTGCCAAAATTAAACCTTATTTGGATCCTGACATAGTTTTATGGCCAGAAAAACAGCTAAAATCAAAAATATGATGTTTAAAACTCCAAGAACAAGCAGGGTTGGATTCACATCGACACTCTCTGAAATGACCAAAAATTTGAGACATAATTCAGGGTGATAATAGTAGATCAGTTCCTTGGTATTATTTCCCCTGATATTTGAACCAAATATTCCATCTGAGTGAAAACATCAAATATTTATCCAAAAACCTTACCTCTAAAATTTAGTTTAGTTCCTTTTCCAAACAGTATCTCTCCACACGCGGCCACAGCACAGTTTGTCGTTTGCAGAAGCTTTGAAAAGGTGCAAGTGAGGTTCACATCTTCTCCGGCTTGACCTATTTTTACATTATCCTCCTGAACAACATCTGCATCAGAGGAGCAGACTGCAAAATGAAGAAGGTACATTTAGTGTTATATAGTGATCAAAGTTCTGTTGAATTGGAAAAAAAAAAGATTCAAATATGTTTACCTATTGTTGAGGAGAACAAAATAATTAAATATATCATGATAACTGATGTTCCAAAGATTATTCTCATGTTTTAAATTCACTGAAGAAAACAACAACAAAAAAGAATTAGCCCAAAAACAAATCTTTCACACCAGATAAGTAATAGAGGTGGATCAATAAACTGTCTATACCATGTTTCCTTCAATCTCCGCTTCAGACAAATGAAAGACACACACACTTCTATCTTATTTATTCAGTGCTCTAAGAGTTGATTGGTCACTTGAGAAAGGGTTTGCACTGAGCTGAAACCACTCTGTGACAGCAGCCAATCAGCTCATGTCATGGTGGAGTTTGCAATGATACAATTTTTTATTTTTTTTGTTATGTTTAAAAAGTCTATATCAGCAGATTTACTGAAAATCACAGACAAAGGCTTCAAGACTATCAATAATAATATTTATTTATTCATTTATTTTTTTACAAAGTCTGCTTTTTAAAGTTAAGGGAATATGACATTGCTGTTGTAGTTACATATTAATGTTGGCAGATGGGTCAGATCTGAGTGTTAGTGAGTGTCACTGTGTAGTTTCCACTTTCTGTTTTCACACCTCTTGCTGCATCAAAACCACAACATGTTAAAAAACCAGCTATCCTTTCATTAAAAAAAATAAAAATTTTATTTACTGTAGACTGACAGCAATTAATTCTCTCTGCTCCCTGTCGTCTGATAAACTACATATATTAAAACTACAGGTATACATAACAAAGTTTGGCATCTGTACATATGTATGTGGTTAATGTTTGATTATTTGGTTTGGATCATAAAAACAAAAACAACAAATTAGTCTCTTCTCTGTTCTATGTAATAACAACAACAAAATACAATAATATTGGCATGATGTAGCACAGGGTTCCTCAAATCTTGCCCTAAAGGGCCAATGCGCTGCAGAGTTTAGCTCCAACCCTGATCAAACTATTTTTCAAATGATCATGAAGGCATTGATTAGTATGCTCAGGTGTGTTTGATTAGGGTTAGAGCTAAACTCCAACAGGAAAATGGCTCTCGTGGGCCAGATTTGAGGAACCCTGATGTAGCAGATGATTTCTGTGGGCACGTGGACATGATACATTTTTATACATTTTAAAAATATTATTGAAAATACACATCTCTCTTATCCTCATACATTTCATACATTAATTCATTATCCATGAGAACCAGTGCTGTGTGCTTTTGTTTAGGCCTTAAAGTCATTAAAGTCAGAAGTTTATGGGACCAGGATTTGTAATTTCAGCACCAAGGACAGAGACATAATGAATAATTTTACACTGCAATATGACATGACCTTACAAAATCTTTTATTATTCATATTCATGGAGAAAACACAGGCAGACACAAAGTTTCTGTACAAACATAAGAGAACTGAATTTTGGTTCAGAAGTGCAGCCCTTAATATAAATACATGCAAACTAAACATCATTTGTCAACTCTTCCACAAAGCAGTGAACTAGGGTAGCTATGAAACACATATTTAATGTTTCACAAGCCTTTTATATGCCAATTTTGAAAAAAATATTTTAAAATATATCTCATGTTCAGATAATGCTTACATTTAAGTTGCAAAGGTAATGTTTTGATGAGTGTAGATAATGTATTGATCAGTAAGTCTTTGCTTTCTAACTGATCTAATATGAAGAAATGTTTGAGTTGATTCTTAACCACAAAAGTACACAAGCCATCACAATATTAGAGACACACAACCCAGATACCAGATAAAAGAGATAAAAACACTTTTGCTATATTGTGCTCACAAACAATGTGTTTCTTGCTCACTATTTTATTTTATTCATAAAACAGATGATGACTTTTAGCCTTGTTTATGCCACTATCAAAGCTTAAACCACTCAGACTCTCTCCATATGAGGAGAGGATGTGACTGTTGCTGCCACTGAAGTCAGAAGGCAGAGACGAGTTGCATCATTTCCTTTTGAATGAGAGACAGGAAGAAACTGCTCATTATAGAGTGAAAGGTGTTAGAGTGAATATCAGCGGATACATTTTCAGTTTTTGAAGCAAAGTGTCATAATATTTTAATCTAGAAGTAATTTCATATAAGGATACGGAAAGACATTTAACATTTAGTTTGTGAAAAGATACCTTGAGACCACCAACTCATTTGAGTAAGCACAAACTTAAAAATGCAAAAGTGTGTTTAAGCTGGCAGGTGGTTGCAGTGGTGGAGGCCCCTTCAAGTGTTTTTGCGCTGGAGCCCAAACAACCATAGTTACTGTATGCACCAAAATGCTCTGGGCTTTAAGCTATCGATACCACAAAGCACAGACTCCTCCACAAAGTCAGCATATGTCCATGAAAGAACATGTGACACCAACTAGAGTGTCAGTCAGAAGTGGAAAGACAGAGTAAATAATTTCCTGTCGAGTGAGTGACAGGAAGAAGCTGCTCAGAACAGACTGAGAACTGCTGTGGTGAACATCAGCGGAGAAACATTTAACTTTAGACATGACTGTCAGCGCTGAATACATTTAAATTCTGAAGCATTCTAAATTCTAAACTGAAAATTACTACATATATATAAAGTGAAAATCTTTTATATTAGGGTCTAAAATACTTAAAGTATTTGAAGCATTTTACTTGCAAGAATTTGCCTATTTATTAAATAACCCAGTACACTGAGATGTTTAGTTTGTGTGCTCAGATGTTTTTCAGAAGTCAGAAGTCAGAAAGAGCTTTATTACCAACAATGTTTACACACACAAGGAATTTGACTTAAGAAAGTACAAACATACATGATAGTGCAGACATACATAGGAATTACATAGTAGAGATGAAATATAACACTAATGTAAGAAAACAGAAAATTAAATAATGCATATACAGAGGTAGAAATATATATATATAAAAAACATAATTGTTTAAATGAATGTAAAGATATGTTATTACAGTTATTTACATATGTACAGTTGATGTACTTTACAAATGTACAATTTTCAGATGCTATGTATAAATGTGTCAGTTATGAACGTTCAGGCTGAATACAGTCCGCGGGAAAAAACTGTTCTTGTGCCTGTCTGTTCTGGTGGTCGGCGCTACAAAGGGCAACAGTTCAACATACCTTAAAAACACTCTCTTAAACCTGACAGTAAGTATGTAATTTTAGCATGAAGTTAGGATTTTAAGATTGGGATTTAACATTTTAGCGTAAATGTGGGATTTTCGAATACCTTCAGTTTATTGTAGTACAGGCCTCACAGCCTCATATTTTGGTCTTATGATTTATTTAGACTCCTCCACAAAGTCAGCATATGTCCATGAAAGAACATGTGACACCAACTAGAGTGTCAGTCAGAAGTGGAAAGACAGAGTAAATAATTTCCTGTCGAGTGAGTGACAGGAAGAAGCTGCTCAGAACAGACTGAGAACTGCTGTGGTGAACATCAGCGGAGAAACATTTAACTTTAGACATGACTGTCAGCGCTGAATACATTTAAATTCTGAAGCATTCTAAATTCTAAACTGAAAATTACATGTAAGTTGATACATTATCTATTTTGTTTTTAATTCATGGGTGTAACGGTACACAAACATGACGGTTCGGTATGTAGGCCTACCTCGGTTTTGACGTCACGGTTTCGGTACAGCAGGGGGAAAACGAAACATACATTTTTTTAAATTATTTTTTTTATTATTAAACAGTGGTTTACTGAAAAAAATTGCTCTTTCTTTAAATACATTTCGTTATAATTAAAATGTTCTTAGGGATAAAAATCTATCTTAAACTTAAATTTAATTACTATTTATTTTTAAATATAATAATGAACACTCAACTTAAAAAAAATTATGCAAAACATGTAAATTGCACATAACACAGTTTTTAAATTAACTTTTAAATTATAAATTTTATTTGTTGTTGAAATATAATCATTTACACAGTGCATCTCATAACTCGTTTCATAACAGATTTATTTAAACATTAAATAAGAAGACATCACTAACAGATAAAGTAAAATATAATGATTATGATTACATTTTGGTCTTATGATTTATTTATTTATTTTTTTTGCCACAGGTGTCCACTAGAGGGGCCTCGTGAGACATTTATCAATAATATGAGGCAGCGTAACCTTTTGCAACTCTTTTAAAAACATGATGCGGACTAATACTGTCCCAGATATGATTGAATATTTTTATGCTTATCTATTTTAATCATTACATGTAAGTTGATACTTACATGTTATAACATTTGAGTACTGTGTAACATTTGAGTACCATTTTTAGGGGCTAAAGCTCCCCTAAAAATGGCCTGGCGATTCCCATTTGAAATGCTACGTGACATTTTGTTTACAAGCTGTTTTATTGCAGTCTTTCAGCGGTTGAAATGCTGATTGAGCGATAACATGAGGCGTGAGATGTTCATTCATGTTTATTTCGCGTTAAAACTAGTAAAGAGGAAGGGATGATCGCATTGCCGCTTGAACTGAGGCGTTTATACAGCGATCTCTTGCGCCACATGAAAGAGCGCCAACTAGCATTTAATATTTGAATTTCCTGAAAAAAAAGACATAATTTGAAACATTAGACTTCCAATGAAGTTACGCTCCTGCAGTGGTTAAAACAATGCTGTATTTGTTCGGTACACATGCATACCGAACCGAAAGACCTGTACCGAAAATTTTCGATACGAATACGTGTACCGTTACACCCCTAGTATCACCCTATAGGTCATTAAACATATTTCTGCAACATTCTCTTTAATGTTCATGTGAAAATATTGCTTACACTACATTCTAGATGTAAGAAAAGCATATATCGACTTATAATTAATATAGTTGTCATGAGTAAATGTCATCAGTATGTGTTAGTGCTGTAGTATAGTACAATGTAGTCTAACTACCTTATTCTTATTCTTATTATACCTTATTCTTTATTGTTATTATGCAGTAGTCTGCATAACTAGAAAATAATGCAAACATGGTCATAAATAATTGTCCCATTTCAGTACCATGGACAGGGGTTTCAACTTCTCTAGCTCTTCTCAACCTCAGATTTTTTCAACAAATCAGTCAATCTTAAATTGATATGCTGTATTGATGCAGAAATCCAACAAACAAGGGTCCATGAAGGTTGCTTAAAATGACATGTCAATCAGTTCAGTTTATTTGACAGAATGAATAAACTTACACTGAAAGATTTTTTTGACTAGAAGCAATTTTCACTCAGAAATTGCTAGTAAATTTCACAATTAACATCAAGCAACACACTGAATTAAATGGGGAATTATTATTTTTTAATTTTACAAAACAGTATTTTACTACTATAGTACTCCAGTAATCTTTGTTTTATTTAAAGCGTAATATATATATATATATATATATATATCAATTAAAGCACATTTATTGTAAATAACAGATAAATTATTTTTAGTAAAATGTATACATTTCTCATGTGCATACATTGAATTATCTTGTACATTTTTCTCTCGGTCTTCTAGGGGCGCTGGACTTTTGTTGAAAGCTTAAAGCAGCATAATTCAAAGCATCTCTGTCTTCATCCTACAACAATTATGATACATTCAGTCAAATATATTGACTATAAAGACTAGGCATTTATATTGAATTACATATGGTATAAAAGCACATTAAATATTAAAATGCTTACCATTAAGTGACCAGTCTGAATATTCTGAGTCCCATCTTGAAAAACAATAAGAATTGGAACACATAACTGCACTGTCATTGAAGAATGTTGATTTGCTCACATATTGGAAACATTTTATGCAGTAATTCCTACCTTTTTTTCGCTGCTTGTACAACTGTGTACCCAGAAATATGATCACAATCACTGATAAACAGTTTAAAGTTCCTAAAACCAGGGCAATTATCCATGGTGTCTGAAAACCTTAATTAAAAATTAAAGTAATTAAAAAATTGGCAATAAATCTGTGAGCAGACAGAGAAAATTATGCAACTTAAATGGGCACCTGGTATGTCAGGTTTTCTTGCATCTCCAAACAGTATCTCTCCACATGCGGCCACAGCGCAGTAGTAAATCCCAGCATCAGAGTGACTGAGGTTCCTCTTGGGCAGGCTGTAGATACATTTGTGTGCAGTAGAGTTCACATCAGAGCTCCTCTCACATTGAGCGTTCCTGCGCTCCTGAGTGAATATAATTCCTGGAGGGGATTCTCCAGATTCACGTCTGAACCAGTAGACGTTGTGTTCTCCTGCACAGCTCTGAGTGAGGACAGTGCACTGCAGCGCCACTGCAGAGTCTTCTGGATGCACTGGATCTATCACAGCTCTCTCATGGTCAGAGTGCATGTTCAGCTGTCTGCCTGAAAAGAAAATAAACAACAATGACATGATTGTAATTTGACCAGACACAATGTGCTACAATACATGTACCACAGTAAAATTTAAGAAAACATTCTGCTTACCTTTAACAATGAGATCAGTGCCTTCCCCAAATATGAACTGATATATATATTTAACACAATAGTATGTTGCAGTGTCCGATTCTTTTGCATTTGTGATGCTCAGATTAAAACGGCTGTCATCTTTTTCTACAAAAAAGCGATTATGTTTGTTAAAGTCATTTTCAAACACGGCAGGTAAAGCTTGATATGACGAAGTGATTAAAAGGGGTTTCTCTCCAGCTCTTTGTTTGACCCAAGCAACAGTGGTTCTTGACTCTTTTGGAAAAATACAGGTGAAGTTAACACTGTCTCCAGCTTGAACAATCTTCAGATGATTCTGAGACTCGATGTCTGCATTATCTGAGCTGCCTGGAAAAATTCAAAATGTCATGGATGAGAAAATGTTAGCTTGCAGTAGAATTGCTTCATTATGCAGTGCAGAAACATAACTACTTACATTTAGAAAGGTAAATCAAAAGGATGAAAAAATTATTAATCATTTTTAGGAGATAGTTCTGAGCTGGTTGATTCAGAACCTTTAGGGTAAATCATCTAGAAAAAATAAGAGTGGTAGATCTTTTAAATAAAGAAGAAATGTATAAACACAGGAAACATAAAACACCTTATTTATAGCTCATATCCAAGTTTTTTATTTTATTTTATCGAGTAAAAATGTTTTTAGATGTTACTAATGTTTAGGTTACCTGGCAAGACAAGAGTTTTTCATTGTGTGGATTAGAAACAATTTTAAACATACATTTTAATGCAGGGCCACATGTCATTCATGAATATGTGGTATATATCCAAAAGTTAATAACTAAACAAAATATGAATTCAAATACAGGCTCTGTTTAAAATCTGTACTTACAGACTTCATTAAAGATCAAGGTTGGTTTTCATGTAGAATCTATCACAGGTTTATCTTCCTTCTCAACACAGTCTGAAAGAGAAAGACACACAGAGACTCACCTTTATATGCTGTACCTCCCTTTATGAAAGAAAAGCAGCTTTACATGATTCTATTGGCTGATTCACCATACTGTTCATTTTAATGCCATGTTCACGGTCATAGTAACAGCAAATCTAAAGTTTTCTAGTAGACTGACACATTTGCACCTGAATGCAATATAAATGAAACATCTACTAATAGTACAAATATTTATTGAGACAAATGAATTTATTAACACATCAAAGTAGTTACCGTATGTTGATTTAAACATGTGCATGGCATCTGTTATCACCCCATGCTATTGGAAAGAGATGTTTGTTTGTCGCTTTTCAGCAGAAGAGGCTGTATCTGTATCGAATTCTCTAATTCTATAAGGTGGAATCTTTTTTTTTTTTTTTTTACAGCAGTTGGCTGTGAACACAACTGAAGTGCATGTTTTTCTTCCTTCCTGCTTTCACTCTTTAACCACAGCTAGAGGATCCTGCACCACTATTATACAACAACAGAAATTTATGACAAGAACTGAGGCCGGTACCAGTTTAATACCTTGACCTTGAAACCGTAAAAGTTGTTTGTCTGCGCTTGTTTAGCATCATAATGTTATGCACAGAATTATATTTAATCAAACTAAATGAAGCATTTGGACCATGTGGCCACTTAATTATAAAGCAAATAAAAAGATATAAAAAATGGATGGAATAAATTCTACGTTATTCATTTTTTGGCATTATTATTCTGCCTTTCAATTCATTATTATTAAATATTACTCATATCTGTTAGTTATTCACATCAGGTACGTATTATGACTCACTGTTTATCTGTTTATGTACTGAAGCTTCTTCTAAATAATTACATGTAAAATGTGCTATTTAAAAATAGCTATTTTTGTGGCAATTGTTGAACTTACTGTATAATTAGTGTCAGAAGAAAAAAACAATGCATGTAACGGAAAAGAGCAGTGAAAATCATTTCCGCTCAGAATGGTGTTTGTGGGCTGTGAATGAGTGTGGGAGGTAAAAATAGAGCAGGGTGGCTAAAAGTACTAAAATATATATACTGTAGGTCACATGAGTTGCCTGATAAATAAATCATGTTGATTTATTCACTCATTTATGGACACCCTTATGCTTATGTAATTCAGTAATCCTCCACATTTTGTAAGCAATAAAATTGTTAGTAGTTTACACTTTTAGCATATCAGCCTGGTTCTTGCTGCTGCCGAATGCACAACAGGCCTTACAATTTTAATGCCCTCAGGATAGTTTTACCACATTTTTCCACCAGAGGGAGTTCATCTGCAACCTCTGTCCATCATATAATATTTCTATGTTCTCCTGTATTATTCATTAGTCAACAGGCAAATACAGCAAAATACATAAAGAAAAATTATCGCTATTTAATGAAGAGGTCCAATATAGACCAATTAGAACAAAAACATACTTAAAAAAAAAACATTATTTACTGCAAGAGTAAAATGCACATTAACCATTACCTGCACATAGACAATAATCTCAGTCCTCATCTTTTTTATTTGCAAAAGACTGACAATATTGTTTTTAAAATGGCAGAAGACAATTATAAAACACATAATTGCTTTACTTTATTTAACTACAGTGTGTAAAAAAAAAGGTTATTTTGAATCATGATCTACATGGACATGGGTCAAAGTTCAAGATGAGTTATTAGAACATTATCTATTACTGAATCAATAATTATATTGCACATGGGAAATGCACATGCTTGTGTCACACTCTAAATTCATGAACAGTTTATTAATGGGCTTAGTCATATCTGTGAACAAGCATGTCATCAATTTCTGGATAGATTCAGAATCTAATGAAGTCATGCTACTACATTACAAAAGCAGTATGACTCAAGAATGTTATTTCAGTACCACGGACAGGTATTTAACACAATTTAAGCACATTTAATTAATATAATGTGTCACTTGCACAACCGCTTCTGAAATTTAGACTGTTGCAATAAGACAAAAATGTATGTACCAATATATACCACATTAGTGTGTATACATATGTATATTTATGTATACATATGCAACAATTAAGATAATGGCAAACATCCAATGGTGTTTAAAGCAAACACTGATGCTGTAACTTAAAGCATGGGTTTATGAAATTTATCACAGGTGTTAAATTCTATTATAGGCTAATAAATAAAAATTCAGTTCTACAAAGTAACTGGATTTGTGTCATAATAGTTTACCTCTGAGTGACCAATGCAGTTGTCAGCTGGAAGAACATGTAGTATAAGTATATATATGAATTACATTTTGAGTTAAAAATAAATGAACCTCAACAGATTTTAATTAAATGCATTATTTGATGCAACTTTGTTGATTTATAAATTCATCAATAAATGATAATGATTAAGGCTAACATAGCTGATTAATTGAATACTCACACACTAAATAGTTCACAACTTGTAAAATATGTTGGTCTTGGTTTCTGACTATTTTAACTTCTACATTTTATAGCTTCCAAATAGAGACTTCTGAATTTTAGAACTTTTCAATTTAAGTACAATTTATTGATATATCACATGTGCATATAGTGAATTGTCTTGCGATTTTCTTTCTCTGGGTCTTCTAGAGGTGGAGGGCTTTTGTTGAAGGCTCAAAGCTGCATAATTCAAAGCATCTGCGTCGTCAGCCTGACATAGAACAGTAATTATGAAACATTCAGTCAAATAGATTGCGTAAAAACCATACAATTAAGTGTAATATTTAGATGGGCAGCAGTGATTAAATTAATTGAAAATGTATTTTTATTACATAGAAGAAAAAAGCATTTAGATTACCATAAGCTGACTGTTTTGAGTGTTGTGCATCCCATCTTGAAGAAACAATGTGAATTTGCACATATTACAGTTTCACTGATATTGAACACTGTATTAAAACTTAAAATTGGCATGTTAAAATGAAATAATGCATACCTTTTTGCCGGTACTTGTACAACTGTGCACCCATAATGATAATCACGATCACAGATAAAGTTACTATAATCAATGCTGCTGTAATCCAATGTGTCTGAAAGCATTTGTCTGTAGTAATGCAAATAAACAAAATGTATTTTAAAAAATATATTAGTGCCATCTCAGGAAATTATTTTTATTCAAACTTAAATATGCACCTGGTAAGTCAACTGTTATTGCGTCTCCAAACAGTATCTGTCCACATGCGGCCACAGCGCAGTAGTAAATCCCAACATCAGAGTGACTGAGGTTCCTCTTGGGCAGGCTGTAGATACATTTATGTGCAGTAGAGTTCACATCAGAGCTCCTCTCACATTGAGCGTTCCTGCGCTCCTGAGTGAATATAATTCCTGGAGGAGATTCTCCAGATTCACGTCTGAACCAGTAGACGTTGTGTTCTCCTGCACAGCTCTGAGTGAGGACAGTGCACTGCAGCGCCACTGCAGAGTCTTCTGGATGCACTGGATCTATCACAGCTGTCTGATCATCAGAGTGCATGTTCAGTTGTGCATCTAAAAAGAAAACGGATAAATAATATTCAGTTATTTATTTGATTAAACAGAATATACAACATGCAATTAAGCTTGCTATTGTTCATCTTACCTTTTACAATAAGGTCAGTTCCGTCCCCGATTGTAAACGTAAAAAAATGTTGAATGCAATAGTATGTTGCAGTGTCTGATTCTTCTATGTCTGTGATGCTCAAATTAAAACTGATATCATCTTTTACAATAAAATAGCGATTATGTTGGTCAAAGTCATTTTCAAATGTGCCAGGTAAACCTTGATATGATGAAGCAATTGGAAGGGGTTTCTCTCCAACTCTTTGCTTGACCCAAACAGTGCTGGTTATTTGCTCTCTTGGAAAATTGCATGTGAAGTTAACACTGTCTCCAACTTGAACAATCTTCAGATGATTCTGCGCCACAATGTCTGCATTATCTGAGCTGCCTGAATGAAATCAGTATAATAGGAATTGGTGAGAGAATGCTTAGTTTTGTTTGCTTTTAAGAACAATCATTTAGCAAAGTAAAAACAGGTATGAATTTAGTCTAAGTGTAGCAAAATATAGTTACTTACACTCTGAAATGTTAAGCATTAGGATGAAAAAATGAAGCATATTGTAAAGCTGGCTACAAACAGGTTGAAATGAAAATCTCTACCATGAAAAAGAGAAGGGAGAGAACACATTCAGATGTATAATAATAATAATAATAATAATAAAAGATGATCTTTTATTTTCCTTTATTTTGTCAAATGCAGAGAAAGAAAGCTAATAATAATAATAACAACAACAGAAATGCTAAATTAATTTGACCAAACATCCCAAGGCAGTACTTTACAGGGCACTGTTACCAAACTTCAAAACATGCATTACGGTGGTCCATTACTGTAGTTAATAAGCTTGACATACTAAAAAGTTACTCTAGCAAACTACTACTATTCTCTAACAAACAAATCTCTGTTTTAAAACTGTATACTTACAGGCATCATTAAAGATCATGGGGTTTGGCCATATAACCATCAGACAGGTTTTATGTCCCTCCTTGATAGTGAGACTGAAAGAGAGAAACACAAAGAGGTTTGCCTTTATATAGTCTTACACTTCCCTATATGCTAAAGAACAACAACTTTACATAATTCTATGTGTGTGTGTGTGTACACAAACACCTACATAAAGACGTACTTACATACATAAGTTCATATAAAATTGCCTTGACTGATAAAGACTGTGGTGGCAAGTACCACAAATCACAGAGTCATGTTTAAACAGAAGCATCATTTGTCCATATAAGGAGAAGATCTGATACTAAACAGAGTTCCAGTCAGAGGCCACAGTGTACGACATCATTTCCTGTAGAGTGGCTGACAGGAAGAAGCTGCTCAGAACAGACTGAGAACTGCTGTGGTGAACATCAGCGGAGAAACATTTAACTTTAGCACTGAGATAATCGGAATAAAATAAAACTGTATGAACAGTATATAAAATTGTGTTGTAATTAAGTATTAGAAATACTGGAAATATTAATTTTGATGAATATAAGATGTTTCACCCTTTTTAAGAAATAATTTTCCAAAATACATACAGTGTATATTTACCCAATCCACCTGTAGTATATACACACACACACACACTATATATATATATAGTTACAAATAAGTACACCGAGTGTTTGTTTGCACCTCTGTGCATACTTTTGCAAGCATGATTTGCATACATCAAGGTTTGATCATTTTCCAACCACAGGACTGACCCACTGGCGTGTTTTCACACCCTTCTCTGAATCAAAACCACACACGCACCATTGTCAAAAAAAAAAAAAGAAAGTTGCCTCCATTATGGAAGTCAAAAATAACCCTTCCATGTGTACATTTTTGTCACAACTTACTCCCTAGTTTTAAGTCTAGTGGAAACAGGCAGCAAAATCTTTTTAATGATTCACAAAAGTGACCTGTACTGAAAGGGTTCTTTGACTCATGATTACGTATATAATTATACGTAATAATTAGTGTAAACCAATACTGCAACAATACATATCAGGCTCAACTTTTACACCTTGAGAGCCCACTTCACACCTTAGAGCTAGGGCCGGGCCTGCTGATGCACTTGAGAACATGTGTGACTCTTATACTGCAACCATCCTTCAGATACACATAATAGACCTGGCCAAGTAGACTGACAAAAGGTTATTTCATTTAGAGATATATTTACTAAGACCATACTACATTTAATCCATGACATATATCTGAAAATGTGAATTCAGTGAATCTTTTGCCATTTAGGTTCAAGGGTTTGGCTCAAAATAAACTGAATGCCCCTGAGCAAAAAGTCACACAGTGACAGTCAATGATCTATCCTTTTGAATAAATAAATAAATTGCATAAAAACTATGCTAAGAAAATATAAATAGACCAGAGGTTCTTAAAAGAAACAAATATTGGATTAGTATGATCACAAATTTGATTTGAAACAAAAATGTATAAAATAATTATAATTACATTAATATATGTTACATATTCAAAGATTCAGAAATGTGTATTTAAGGATATTGTAGACTGCCCTTTTATACAAATTTTTATGGCAGTAAGATTCGGTGCATTAATCCTTTTCATTTGCAATAACATGCGGTTGATCAGCAGATGTCCTCGGTGTGCATGTTTCCAATCAGTTTGCAAAGTAAATAATTTTTAATGATTTTGAATAAAAGGCTTTATTTCTCCCATAGCAATGGGCATCTAAAATAATGTCGCAAATGAAAGTAAGCAATAAATTATTATTAAGCAATCAATAATAAGCTTGTTGCTACCAGCATGCCGAGAAACTCATGAAAATAGAAAGAGAGACAGAGAGAGAGAGACATGAACAGGTGACTGAGGGACCTCCTGACCCCCTTTGTGGCCAAAATGGTACAGTCATATATCCATATTTTTCTGGAATTAATCCATTAAGACCTGCTGGTATTGATATAAAAACTAATTAGGACTAATTACACACACACACACACACACACACACACACACATATACTGTATATATAATGATTTATCAATGGTTAATAAATGGAGAGCCAAGCTGAATGAAGGGAAATTATCATACGTAATTTGTAATTTTATGTAATGTAGTTATGCTTATTTAATGAAAAATTATATTCCTGAGTGAAAAAAATTAACTTATTTCTGAATACTTAGAAAAAGTGATATTTGTGATGAGTTTCTGTCTGTTTATTCCAAGCAGCAACCTCCCGCTCTCTCTCGTGAAGCCAAGAAGGAAGTGACTAAAACTGTAATTCGTCAACTGGCCGCTAGAGGCTGGCTGCAAAAGAGAGTCAATCCCATAGACACCCCATGTTAAAATGCCCAACTTTACAGCAGAAAAAAACATGTTTACAGCCTGGTTCAAAAAATGATTTTGGTCTATATAGCTAATTTTGCCCTTCATGACAACTGAGGGGGGCGAATTTTTTTATAACTCATCCGTTTAAATTATATTAAGCCTTAAAGTTCTGCATAATTAAGGGCGTGGCCACTTGAGTGACAGGTGGATTGCCGCTGCTGTCACACCGTCGAGCTAGGTGGGCGTGTCTTCAGCAACCT